CTAATTGCAGATATCACAACAAGAGTTTGATGCGGCGTTTGCTGTGTAAAAATATTGTTCATAATTACACAAGACATGTCTAAACTATATCTTGATTGAAATTTTTGAATTAAAATGTATTTTTTTTATATTTTTATTGTACACATTTTTTCAAAATATACATACAAAATTTGATAATGTAAGTGTACAATTGATATTATATTTCCTTACGATTCCTTTCCTTTAGATGTTTATAAACATTTCCTATAAATTTATAAACATTCGTATTATTACGTGAATGAATAAAATAAATATTGTAGCTATGATCCTGTTTATAACAACCAATGTGATGCTTATATTTGCAGGAGATATGGATCAAAAGGAGAATTTGTTTATTCCTTTCAAGTTATAAATACATTTTTACAAAATTCAAACATGCAATCTATACAAACACAGTGAAAACTATCTCGTTTCACTAAGGCCCCGACATGACACCGACGATACTACTTGTCTCTGTCTTCGTTTGGCTTTTAAGAGTATCCCCACTACTCAGTATGAGATTATTATTTACCACGCGGCTGGGCCAGGATAATGTGGTAGAGGGGAGCGAGATATTCCAATAGCAACCAAATGCGACCACATGTGTACGTGTGATATGTGCGTGTTTGTAATCTTTTAAAACTAGGACTGTTGTGTTTGAAAGTCCAATTATTGGTGCGATTAGTCATTGAGCCGTTCCGATGATTCATCCGCATTCGTTTTATGCGTCAAGTGACTGTATCTAATAAATGTAAATTACAGAGATTTTCTTGAAACAGTCTTATTTTCATGTTGAGAAATGGAGGAGGAAACAAATCGCCCAAAATGGTTGTTGGAATTGGAAAATCGTAAGCGTAAGGTACGTCAAATATCATATAATTGATTAAGAGACAATAAGTGAGAAAGAAGCTTAGTGTGTAAGATTAAGTTTGAAAGCCAGTGGATTGTATCGTATCTTACATTTGCTCAGCCACGTTTAGCGCACGAAGCTGGAGCTGGTGCACCATGCATGAATTGTAATTCCGCATGCCCTGGTCTTGACCTGCATTTTTGGCGAAAAATTTGCAAGAATTGCAAGTGCAGTCGGGATGATCATGATGTCGCTGATGATGAGTTTCCACAATTTGATCTCCTATTTGGATCAAGTGGAAAATTTAAGAAAATAGCTACACGTAAATATCTTTTATATATAATTAGTCGTAATTAAAAATGTTACATTTCTTAATTCTTGCAAATTATCCTATAAATTTTTTTATAAAATAATATCTGACACAATACACACACACATATATATATATATATATATATATTACACATATTACACACACACACACACACACACACACACACACACATATTTTTACAATCACGTATATTGAACTTAATTTTATTTGTTTGAAGTAAAATAGCGCATATAATTCTTTGTCTTGTTTCTTGAATAAAATCAAACCTCTTACACTATGTTTGTCTTATACATTATTGTTTAATTAAAAATATTGATCCTTAGGTTTGCAAGTAAATAATAAGAAACAAAATGATGGTGAAAGTACATTCGAGTGGGTGCCACCGGATACAACTAAAGAACTTGCTGTAGATTATATGAAAGCTTTGCCTGTAGAGAAGCTGCCAATCAAAGGATCTGTTGGTGCTATTTTAAGAAGACAATTATTACAGAAACAACTGCCGCTTCATGATATCGATTATAAAATTTGCGATCAACTTAGCGAAGAAGAGCAGAAACAATTTAAAAAGTACTTGGAGGATATAAAGAAATATGTAGGACAAGGCAAAGTAATGAAGGTAAGATAAAGATGGCGACTTGATCATATCGATAATAATCTTATTAGATTGTGTAAAAATGTATATGATAATGGAGAGTGATACAATTTTTTATAATACCATATCTATATTATAAAACGAAACATAAGAAATACGCTTGAGAAATAGATATTAAAAGCAAATGCTTTAAGCATCTATTTCTCGGACTCATTTCTCATGTTTCGTTCATGTTTCTCATGTTTCATAATACAGATATTATTATTTTCAGATATTGAGTGCCCGTCCATTCGATCGTTCTCTCACAACACCTGTCAATGCAACCGATATGCAAAGATACAGTCCGCAACATAAAGCTCATATACCTTCGGCTAGTGCTCAATTACGTATACCAAGTAGCTTTGCAATAAAATGTCCATATGCGAGGCATTCGCATGATATTCAAAATAAGCAGGATATTACTACAGCTACGAATAATAAAGAGACGTATAGTACAGAAGGGTATAATTGTTCGCTGAACAATGTGTCTGTCAACAGTAATATTGTGAAATCGCAACCAATCCAAAGAAAATTGATTTATGAAAATTTTCAGCATGCAAATGATACCATATCGGTAAATGAAAAGGATATAAATAGCAAAATAGTTAACGATTCAATCTTTACTCATCTCGCCGAACAAGAAATTGTATCCACTCGCGAGAAGCATATTTCTGGAAATTATGTACCTTATAGAGAAAGAAAAAATGCTTTTGAGAAGCTTGGAGAAACATTGAATGATACGACATTGTGTGACATTACATGTTCGGACGTTACCAGTGAAACAGCTCTCATTGCGGAATCTCTATTAGCGGACGCGCTTCTTCCACCTAGTGCGATCCACGCTAACGATATTATCGGAAGTACATTGGGCGAGAAAGAATTGACGTTTATAAGGGAGAAACTCACCGATAAATATAATACGACGGAGAATTCAATGATGCACGGTGCTTCTAAATTATCTAAACCATTAGAAGCGAATGACACGTTACATTTGCGTAGCGGCAGAATCGGCATTAAAGAGAATAATTTCGCAGGCACCGACAAGTGTGTGGAGAGAGCAAATATTATAGCTACTATGAAAAATCCTGCGGGAAGTCCCGCGGGTAGGACGGAAATGAGTGCTTCGCTAGAAGCGGAGAAAAGAACATATAAACCTCTATCTCAAATAATCGAATCGACCATTATACCTGCTGGTATTCGTGCACAAACGAACGAACAAAAACGATGCGGCTTCTTAACAAATGACAAAGCGGTGAATAATAATTCGTTGGTAACGGAGACACCTAAAACTGTAACGGAAAGCACCCCTGATTTAACATTAAACAACTGTAATTTCATACATTTCGCTGCTCCTATATTGAATTTGTCGGCGCAAACTATTCCGCAAAATTCTGCAAGTGATGCAAAATCGAGTCGGTTGCAGACAGAATTGAATAGTTCGATCTTGCAATCAGCTGTCATACATTCCGAACAGTTGCAAAATCAAGTGTTCCCCCACGTCGTCGGAGGCTTCGATGAACAAGGCATCCAGCACACTCAGCCTACGGATTATCTGAAAGATGCCATGGAAAATTTAAAGGTAGACTCTAAGGAGATGCACAAGTGTGAAAAATGCCATGAGAATATACGCGTTGGCGATGTAGCCGTAACCGCGGAGAAGGCTAATAATGCATTCTGGCATCCCGGCTGTTTCGTTTGCTCGGTATGCGATGAACTGTTGGTAGATCTAGTATATTTTTATTACAAGAATAAATTGTACTGTGGAAGAGATTTGGCCGCATCTTTAAGAATTCCCCGATGTTTCGCTTGCGACGAGGTAAGTGTGCAATGATACCATCCTCCTTGAATACATGTTCTTTCAATTGATTAATTGTCAATATTGTCAATATTGTCAATATTTTAACTTGAATCGATTCGGTATTGACAAATCTTTTTTAACGTTTGAATGTCGAACATTGTCTACATGTATAAATCCGGAAAAGTTAGAATATTATCGAAGTATCATAATTATACCGAAAACTATAAATGTAGCTCGATATCTTTTCAAAGAAAAATTCTGTTACTCAAAATTCTCTATTCTAATATCTCTTCTCTCAAGGAAAAAAATCAATTAAAAGAATTTGCAGTTTCAAGCGAGTGCGTTTTGACGAGCGATATTCTTTATAAAGACATAATATTTCCAAACTATATTTATAATATTAAGGTTCAATCATCTATTTCTATTTATTGCAGTTGATCTTTGTGCGAGAGTACACGGTTGCGGAAGAACATAATTATCATGTGAAACATTTTTGTTGCTGGGACTGTGACGTGCCATTGGCTGGACAAAAATATATTATTGAAAACGATCGACCGTTATGTCTTCCTTGTTATCAAAGATCATATGCAAAAACATGCGCTGCCTGTAACATAGCGATTGCCGCAGACCAGCAAGGAGTAGCTATAAAAAATTTAAACTTTCACGCAACTGAAATCTGCTTTTGCTGCTACAGTTGTAAGAGGAATTTATTGAACGGCAGAATGGCGATAAAAGATGATAAATTGTTTTGTAGTAAAGAATGCATCATAAAGTTTCTTAATAAAAATAAAGAATTTACTATCTTTTGACACATACTATACATTTTATTTTTGTCATAAAAATAATAATCACGTAAATTCATTATGAGAATACGAGAATATGAGAAACATAAAATATTAAAATATAATTATGTGCCATTAATTATTAGCAGAGTTCAATCAAAGCGAGATTTTTCTATATAACCGTAACATAATAAATATATCACTTTACCAATTCTAACCTTATTCGATAAAAATTTATTCTATAGTTTTTGATTTATTTTCCATAGTATCATCTTTCTTTCTAAAATCACGTATTTAGTTTAGAATAGATTATGTGACTACATAATTATAGACTATATGTTCTAAAGTACTTAGATTCATCCTTTATGTATTACTGTGTACACGCGCGCACGAAGAACCATAGTTTTCGTTTACCGAAAATTTTCGTTACGCAAAAATACAATACTCTAAACAAATTTTCCCAGTTTGTTATACTTTATATTTTGTACCCATATATACAAACTTATATGTTGACTTATATGTTAACGAAATACGATAAAATTACGCATGTAACGATTTCGTTGCATTTATTGTATAGACATCAAAAGATATGAAAAGTAGAAATTTACAATCGATACCTTTTTAATTGCAATATTTTTAATATTAATTGAAACTACACGTAGACTTGATGAAAAACAAATTATACTACATGCAAATTATTCATATACTTAATATGTATAGTATATTTTATTTGTTAATATTTGAAAAATATTCTCTTTTCATTTAAACAAACCCTCATCATTTTATAATCATTCAGAAATATAAATTTGACAGCTTTCTCGTATTTTCAGTTCTTTTTTTATATCGTATACAATAAAATTTATTATAATCGATTATCAGATTATTGTACCAAATTACGAATTAAGTTTTTCTTTTGAATCATTAGTAATTTCCTGCAAGTATAATCATATAACAATAAGTCAATAAAAGTAAAAATATTTTTCCATATTTACGATATATAAAAATTTGGAAATATGTCGCACATATATACACAAGCATGCAGATATATAATGCTGTGATTGTTTTCAACACTTTTATACACGTACATGTGCACGCACGCAGAGAGAGAGAGAGAAAGAGAGAGAGAGAGATATCTGTTTTTTATACTGAACTAGTGTACACTTGTACTTAACATAGATATACATTTAAAGTTTGATAAAAGCGAGACAGAATGTTTTAATACAGCTCAGTGTAGGAACAGAAAACAAACCTATAAACTCACTCAATAATTCTTGCAAATACGCTATGCTTTCTATTCAGAATCGCTATCGACAACAGTTTGAATACGTCTAAACGTATTATGAATTTCTCGATGTCGCGTGTCATGTGATGTGTCTGAAGGTATCGTTTTTTTAACATTTTCCATATTTCTTCGTGCGCGCGTGCATACTCGTCCTAAAATAGAAAAAAATCAAAATTCAATATTATATATATTTAACAATGCATGTAATATATTTGATAAAAATTAATAGCAAAGAGAGCTTTAATAATAAGACCTTCAGATATAATGTTGGACACATCCAATTCGGATACCTCCCTCATCTTTTCATTTTGTTCTCTTATACGTTTACACTTCTCCAATGTTGGCCTGCCATTAATGCCATTTTTCTCCAGCAATTCTTTTAAACGTTTAATTTTTGCAGCGTTACTTTTGCAATCAGCCCAAATCTCACTGTAAGATTTTACTTTTACGCCGGCAACCTTTAAATATTTTTTCAACATTTGTATGACTTTATCTCCTCGGCTCTGAAACAGTACATCTCTGTGAAAAACCGCACAGTGATTTATACAATTACTATTTATAGCAATAAATTTATCCACTATTGCTGTACTTACAACATTATTACGTCTCCTCTTTTTATCCTTTGCAAACTTTTCCTCTTCGGATTTATTGTCGCTTTCACTTTTAATCGAAGAGCTCTTATCTGACAATTCTTTTTCCATTTCATTTTCAGCTTCTAGCGTTCCGTTAGTTCTTTCTGTTACAACCGCACATGCATCTTCATCATCTGGTATAGATTCGATACTTTTCTGGCGAGAATTTTTTCTTTTACCTCTTGTACGTCCTCTTTTTGATTCGACTGAGCGATGTTTGTTCGTCGATCTTCTTGTCAGTGATGACCTTTTTATTTTCTTTTTCGTCCGTGGACTATAATCTTCATCTGAATTGTTATTCTGACTGTCATCTGAACCAGAAGGCTTCAATTTACTGAAACTTGTTCGCGAACCTCGTTTCTTTGTCCTATTATTTTCTGATTTAATCTCCGATATATCCGTGACTCTTTGTACATCAGATTTTTCGTTCTCTGATGAACTACAGTCCAATTCCGATTCGTTTGGTTCAGCTTTGACAATTATTGTCTTTGGTCGTGGCTTTGCATCTCTTTCATTTTCACTTTCAGAACTCTGTTCTTCTTTATCACTCGCACATTCCACTGAAAGCTCTAGTCCACCTACTACTTCCGTATCCATAATATCTCTCTTGATAATATGTCCCTTTTCATCATCTCTTTTGTTCTCTTTTTCTTCTATTGTTTGGTTGATATCTGATTTAACTATCTCATAGTCTTTCATTTTCTCATCTTTAGAAGCAGATGTCAGATTTATGTCTATAGCAGGCTTTTGGAATGAGTTGTCCTTTTTTGGAACAGAAAAAAAAATAATATATGAGCCATGTAACTTTATATATTTGTATCGTGTATACATATTGAAATCATATAAGGTGAATACTGTTTCTCACATGATACGCATGACATATCGTTTACCCTTATTATTTACTACATATTAAAAAAAGATGCAGGACAATGGCACATTATGCATTCTATACAAAAAAACAGAGTATAATCTATAATAAACATGTCTCATATTTCAACAGTTAGAACAAAAAAATTATTGAATACAGCTAAAAGTCAAAACATTTGGGAAATACATAATAACTTTAAACAAACTTCTATAAATTTTATAAACCAAATTCTTGATACGAAACAAATTATATTAGCTATCCATAATAATGTAAATTTGTATTACCTCATTTTTAATAATCTCTTTGATATTTATTTCTTCAGAACTTTGAAGTATAGGGTTATCTTGTTTTAACACTTTTGATCGTTCGCTTTGGAAGAAACTTTGCCGTTTTTTAGCAGGTAAATCTCCTTCATTCTCAGAATCTTCTATTCTTGATCTTTTCTTTGACACTGCAGTATCGATGGAATCTGATGATAGCTGTAATCTATCCATGTCTTCTTCTTCAGTTTCATCACGATCAGTTTCATTGTGATCAGATTCTATCATTATATAACAAAATGATCTAAAAAATGTGTACTTTTTATAGAGATATTTTTAAAAATATACACAAAACAAATAATGAAGAGGAATATGCATATTTATAATTACAAAAATCTCTTACCCTTTGTTTTGATAAAAAGAAACTTTGGATTTTTTAACGAAGAGAATTATGTCGTAGAGCGTTAACTTATCTAGTACGAATCGACGCCTATTAACCGGTAAAGTTTCAGGTCACTTACGAAGAATAATTTTGCAAAGAATTTCTCATAATATAAATATCGGATAAATTATCAAAGTATCGAACTCTTATACAAATCACTTTCTCATCACATGACATGTCCGTTATCGCTGGAGATATCGATGATCTTTTAAGTTGTACGTAATACAACTTTATTATAAATATTTATGCGATCATCGCAATTCGCGATCGCGATATGTTTGCGCGGCAAAATTCACGTAATGGAAGATTCACTTTTTAAGGTGACCTTTCACGTTAGCGCTCGATGCTCGTTTTATTATGGCGCGGTCCCATGGTACGGAATATGTATGCGCGCAATGCGGAATTGACGGGATGTCTTGTGATTGGTTTGACCTGTTTTACGTTCATTCCGCCGATTTTTATTTGCAAGTTTTTATTTTATCCGGTCTGATTGTGTGGAATTACTTGTGAGCTTGATGCGTGTGTACGTATATTAAAAAAGGAGACAAAAATGCTGAATGTTCAGCAGAGATCCGTAAGAATATTACTAAAAACTATTACAATTTTTAATAATAAATGTTAAATTTTATATTAATGCAATGTTGAACAACTTTTAAATATGAATTTGGAAAAGAATATGAGTTTTAACAATAGTTCGTAAAAGGAACTATTAATTTAAAATTAAATCCGTCTAATAGTAATAAATAAACGTTATCCTCCCTTTGTTATCCTTAGTACAGTCAAAATGGTCGGTAATAATTATCGGTAATAATTATTCTTCAATTATCCCCGGACTCGCTTAGCAATCACGAAAATTTTCCCATGGCCGATCATTTTTAACAATGGGTGTAGTCCACTTGGTGCTACATACAAATGCTTCGAAGAATTTTTTATTGGTCAATTCATAAAATTCTTTGTTCTGATTGGTTAATCAAACGCTTAGAAACTTTTGTAGCGCTAAGTAGACCATAGTCAGTATCTCGTTGGTGTCACTGATCTAGTTTCCACCGATGTCTTAATTCGCTCCTAATACATCGTATGTACTTGACCCGAGAAGTATGTTTAAACAATTATTATTTTAAATCATTTAAATAAATTTTATTTTAAATCATTTCGTATGAAGAGTTTTGAAGTTCAATTGAAAAGATTTGTCAGTCATTCGGTTAATTATAATTAATTAATCATTTTTAAACCATGTATTTAGCCTGAGGAATTAATCGAAGATAAATTAGACAATGTTCTTGTATGGAATTATTTGTATTTTGTATAAAGAGTTATAAAATGTTATTAAAAAGTTTTGTGAGTTATTCCGAATTATAATTAAATACTTAAGAGTCAGCAGAAACAACAATCCAACTCATTTACATCACATTTGTGCGGTGCAGATACAAATTTGTATTCTATTATATTTTATTTTGTAGTAATATTTTCTCGAGGTAATATTTTGCCACGAGTCTTTTTTTTATCCATATAACAAGTTTCACGAAGTCGCGAAACCTGTTATAAATAAATAAAACCGGCACACAATGCTTTTTTTCCTGCTAGTTTGCTAGTTAGATTCGCATGTTTGCTCAGCTCTTGTCTTCGATTGTCTTTGATTGATATATTTTTTTAGATCTAAAAGAATATATCAATCAAAGATAAGAGCTCACTAAACATGCAAATCCAGCTAGCAAACCAGCAAAAAAAGCATCGTGTGCCGTTGGCTTAAGATTATTTGCACTAATGCAGTATCGCTGCAATTTCGAAAGTTCCGTCAGTCCTGGTTTACAATAGGTGATTTAAGTCTTAAACCATAAAAAATTGACCAATCATAGTCGAAGAATAGAAGAATAATCGATACTGCATTAGGCAGGCTGCACACAGGACGCGGCAAAGCGGTAACGTGACAACGCGGTAGCCAATCACCGTCTTGTTTTCTAAGGCCGGTTGTAGACAGGACGCGGCAACGCGGTAGCCAATCACCGTCTTGTTTTCTGATATATAACTTCGTTACATATTAGCAGGCCTAATATGTAACGAAGTTATATATCAGAAGCCGGCCTTATAGTGCGGTATAATGCAGATCTTATTTATCTTATTTATTATATTATTTATAACAAGTTTCACGACTTTGTAAAGCATGGATCAAAAAAAGACTCGTGGCAAAATATTATCTCGAGAAAATATTACTATGAGATAAAATATGATAGAATACAGATCTGTATCAGCACCGCACAAATGAGATGTAAATGAGTTGGTGAAAATGAGATGTAAATGCTTGTTGCTCTTGCTAACTCTTAAATATTTAATTATAATTATCTAAATAATTCACAAAACTTTTTAATGACACTTCATAACTCTTTATACAAAATACAAACAATTCCATACAAGAACATTCAATTTATCTTTGATTAATTTCTCGGGCTAAGTATATAGTATTGTAAGAATTAGACGACCGTAAGCGGTCATGAAAGAGATCAGAATATAAACAGCTAACAGAGAGGAACCGTCGTGATCGTGCAGACTAAGTATCAGATTAGCAAACGAAGGGGGCTCCTGAGTTCAAATCCAGTCGGTCTCCGTTTATTTTTCCGAATCTAATAAATATCTTTCAGTATAAAAATGATTAATTAACTGAATGATTCACAAACCTTTTTAATTGCACTTCAAAACTCTTCATACGAAATACAAACAATTTAAAATAATAATTCTTTGAACCGGCACTTTTACTTACTTTTCGGGTCAAGTACATGACGTAGAACTAGATTTGAGTCAATGGAAATGCGACAAATTGCGTTCATTTCAATCCTGTTTCGACAAATCTTTACTTCCGATGGAAACAGCATATTAAATTTGATCCATATCAAAGTAGAATCGAAGACTTCGGAAATGGAAACTAGACCACTGATATAATTATTATTTTTTTCTCGAGTACATTTCTGTCTTAAATCATAATCCGTGTTGGTTTCGCTAGGAAGTTACGGCTATATAAAAGAAGTAGTAATAGTAAGAAACAGTGATAGATGCTTTGTGTCCACGATGTTAGAAATCGAGATCTCGGATGGAAAGAGAATTGACCAATCGCATTGGTTAATTGGCTGAATTATTCAAACGCAATTGATCAATTTTCTTTCCATTCGAGATCTCGAACTGATTTCTAGCATCATGGACACCAGGCATAATAGTAGTAGTAATAGTAGTAATAGTAGTAGTAGTAGTAATAGTAGTAGTAGTTCAGTGTTGTCGCATCAAAAGATATAAATGTAACACATAATCCGTCGATGCCTACAATTTAGGAAATTATTAAAGCAGATTGACGTATCGACGAATTCTTCAAATAGCAATTTGCTTGATCATGGTAATTCTTATTTGCGATTTTATTTCATTCTGTATAAGAATATAAGTATAACTTTATAAAGAATTGATATACTGCTTTTCTTCTTTTACAATTCTTTTATAAACAATACAATTCTTTTATAAACAAATAATTTTCTAAAATTTTTATTCTTTGAATAATATTTATTTTACACATATATTTTTTTATATTCTTTTGATTGTATTTCTAATTGTAGTTTGTTTAATAGGAGTATGTAAATATTTATAAAACACAAATTGACAAAGCCAAGCACAATGATAAAGATAGCTTATCTGTGCACAGAAAATCAAGCAAGAAATTTAAATCTAAAAAAAAGAGAAAATTTAATAAAAAGGAAGACAAAAAACACAAAAGAAAGAGAAAATACTCGTCTTCAAGCAGTGTAAATATCAAGGATTTTGTAACTTTATTAATATTTACAAATTATATATTATTTGTATCATACACACACATACACACACACATACACACACACACACACACACATAAAGGTTGTGCATCTCTATTTTTTAGAAAAGCTATGACAGCGATAAATTTGAATGGGTGGAGAGAGAAGATAATAAGGTTTTGTCATGTACTGCTGAAAATCTTATCGAGAGCAAAGTACAAGCAAATCAGCTCAAGCGAGACGAATGGATGAATCTAGAAAGTTTTGTTCCATATATGTCCAAATCTAATGCGAAATCACAGGAGTCAGATATGAAAAGGGAAGATGAAACTAAAATTTTAAATAAACCTGGACAAAGTGACCGAGAATTGAATCCGTATTGGAAAAATGGAGGTGATGGATTACCTCAAAATAATCCACAAAAACTTGATAATCCCAAGATTCTAGATGCAAACTGGTTAAAAAGGAGTCTTCGACGTGCCAAGGAACAAGCTTCTCGAGATGGTAAAAGTTTAGAAGAGGTGGCTGCTGAACGCTGGGGTGTAAGTTAATTAAAAGACCAATTGCATATGCAAAATGTTAGATTATCAATGATTTAAAGCCGATCTCTTTTTAGTCCCTAGAAGCTATACAAGTGATGATAGCTAAAGCGGAAAGTATGTCTAATGCTGAACAGCATAAGTCATACTATAAAAGATACTACAACGAAAGAAATGATAAAGATTTACATGGAAATTTCGATTCAGGAAGAGAGCATTCTAGATCTAGTGGAGAACATGCTAGAAAAGTTGATCAATTATCACAACGTTGTGTGGAGTTAAAACAAAACTATCGGAAACCCGAAAATAACGATGATTATCGTCAACAGACTGTACCTACCAGCAGCCGTATAAAAAGTTGGAAAAAAGATAAAAATGATGATAAAAGATGTAAAGATGTTACCGAATTACCTACATTTAATCATCCTTCAAGGGAGGTTGATTCAGTGTTCGATAATACGAGCACGACGAATTCAAATAAGAATATTGACATTTTGACTGAAACACAAATGAACAAGTTGGGGGCAAGGGTTATTAAAGCTGAATTAATGGGTGATGATGTACGGTTGCTTTTTCTATCGAATGCAGTTCATTTAAAAAAATTTTTAATCTTTTGCATTTATTTGGAATAATTCATTTAGGAATTGGCAACGAAACTTAAAATCCAATTAGAACACGCGAGAAAACATGTTGCATCATACAATACTATTGCGCAGGAAGAAACTGTAATTCTTACAAGAACCGATGCAAAAGGTGCGTGCATATGTGTGCATTTGTATTTATTTATAATTTTAAATGTGAAAATAAATGATTATATTAAAATTATGTGAAAATTTATTCCTGAAGGTATTGCAAGACCGATACAATCCAGAAATCAATCTAAGCGATTTGCTGAAAATGATAGAAAGAAGAAAACTGCTGAAACACATATCTCTGGTGAGAGAGTACGTTATTTCGTGGATGATGATAAATATTCTTTACGAGAAATGGTAAGTAATCAAAATGATAATTATCTTGAATCTTTAATATGATGCAAGATAAGTTTTTTTCTATTACAGTTTCAACAAGAGAAAGGAAGATCTGCAAATGAAGATGAAGAAATGTTGATGAAAATTGTTTCCAGAGTAAGTTAACTGTAAATATTGAATGACTGAAATATTATATAAATGTCAAAATTAAAAATAACATTTTCCTTCTTAGAGTACGGATCAAATGGATGATGTATTTGAGCAACAAATCACACGGACAGATTCGGAAACGAGACAGGATAAGCGGAATTACATACAGGCAATTAAAGAGCACAAAGATTTATCTAAGCGTATGGATAATTGTTGGTGGTGCCTTGATTCAAAAAATATGTTAAAACATATGGTCGTTACAATGGATTCCGTGATTTGCTTAAACTTACCTGCAAGTACTTCCTTGACTAACGGTCATTGCATATTGACACCCATACAACATATCGCATGTCAGTTACAATTAGATGAAGATGCTTGGGATAGACTGAAGGTAATTTTTTCATCCTTGATATGATTAATTTCATTGATACTTATCTACAGTTGAATCGCATCCCATATGTTGAAATAAAATCGTATAAATATCTTTTTATAGGAATTGAAAAAGAAACTAATAAAAATGTTTACGAATGAAGATCTTTATCCGATATTTTACGAAGTATATAAAAAACATTGTAAATTTTCACACATGCAATTGGAATGTATTCCATTGCCGAAAGAAATTGGTGAATCAGCACCGATATATTTCAAGGTAAATAAGTCATAGTATTATATAAGTAATAAAGTATCGCTCATCTTTAAATAACTTTGCATCGCTTTGATATTTTTCTTTTACAGAAAGCTCTGTTGGAATGTGAAACTGAATGGTCCATCAATAAGAAAATTGTTGATCTCACATGTAAAGATATACGCCATGCCATACCAAATGGTTTATCATACTTCATGGTGGAATTCGGTTCACATCCTGGTTACGCACATATAATTGAAAATGAAGAAATGTTTCCACGGAATTTTGCCAAGGTGAAATATTGTCAAATTTATTTTCTTGGAAACTTCAATTTTTGTGAAAGTATTAATTTATTATGCTTTCTTTATATAAGGAAATAATAGGTGGGATGTTGGACTTGGATCATAATTTGTGGCGGAAACCAAGAAGGCAAAATTTTGAGGAGCAAAGACTAAAGGTATTGGAGTTTACAGAAAAATGGAAAAAAGTATAATTCTCAGTAAAGAGAAAGCAATTGATAGTTTTATTTGAAAAAATTAAATATGATTGGTTGAATTTAAATGTAACATACTTATTTTTCATTGTTAAATAACTTAACTCTTTGTATAGTATTATTAGCATCATATGTCTAATGTATTCTCTACACTCATATACATATGTATAAATATATATAAAAACATTAATAATTTTATTTGAGATGATTTTTCATAATATAATTCTAATGGCGGCGGGGGGGGGGGATAACAAAAGAGGATTTTAATCGATATCAAAAATATTTAATTATCGAATTGTTATAGAACCACTACATTGAAAGTTTGCTAGTCTAGTGGCACGTAGTTGGTGACATGATTATTTGGATTTATTCATACAAAAAATTTTAGCAACCAAAATCCTGCTTGCCAAGAAACGGACTATGTTACTTGCTGTGGTTTGTAACTATTCTAGCTGGTATCAATGTATTGTTTAATAATTTTATCTATATCGAGGGTAGTATCTATTCTATTTTGTAATGATAAAACAAATGATTTTTCCTTTCATCACAAACTAGAAAACAATTGAGTTATTTAAATTAAATTTCTTTCGAAAGTTTTGCAATTGATAACAATGTATTGTCGTTTAAAATTTGTCACTCGATCCTGTTTACATTTTCCTACCTTTTCTCTTCTTTGTATTTACTGGTGTCTGTCCTTTTACAAGAATATGGACAATAATTTTCAATTAAAAGAAAATTCGATATTATTAAAACGGTATTAGAGAACAAGACGGAAAATATAACTGCAAAAAACAAACATTTTTTAATTAAAAAATTACGCAAGACGGAAAAAACAGGAGTATGTCCTACTCGAATGGTTTCCGACATTGCGTCCATTTTAACCGTCATATCGATCAGCCCAAATTTCCTGCATTTATAGACATATAGATCTAAATGCTTAGGTGTTCTTTTTAGCTGAACTTACACTTTTCATTTTTTTCTCTTTTTTTCCAACTCAGAGAGGAAAGGAGAAAAGCTGAATTTTTTCTTAAAAAGAATAGATATTAATCTATTCTTCGAATAATTTTAAGACTGCACAAATATATTTTGGGTTACATTCCAAAATCTCTCCTCTCCGAGGAAAATTCGATATAATATAATATACGTTACGTGCACTATATATCTTGAGTAAAATTTTCCTCGGAAAGGATGCCTTGGAACACAATCATGTAACTTTACCTGAAATTTTTCACTTTTCATTTTTCACTTTTTACTTTTCATTTTTCACATCTTGACATTTCACGTGAAACTTTTCACGTACAGCGATTATGTATGTAGCTTGGATGCGTGGAAAGTGAAATCATGAAACATAATTTCATAGGTTTTATAGCTAATGAAAATTATTTTATTGATACAGTATTACATATATTTTTTAATAACCAATTGTATATGTACTACGTACATTTAATCCTAACGCAACCCTAATTTTCTCTAATTCCGAAGCATATTTATTAATTCCCTAGATTTCCACCTTTCCGCTACTAAGATACATGGCGAGAAAGTTCACGTGAAAAATTTCACATTTTCACGTTTGAGAGAGTTACATGATCCCACAAAATCGTATATGATCGTAAGTTCACGTGAAACTTTTCACTTTTCATGTTTCCGCCTAGGGGAAAAGTTACATGATCGACCTCCTGGTACGAAAGCCAGAATAAATAGAGAAGATGATTGCCATATTGCCCGTGCGCGCGCGCAATGACACACGCATCCAGCTATATCTCTTCCCCTCTCTCGTCACCTTGCCATGCTGCCAAGCTCTCGTTTTCATCGTTGCGTGCGGAGTTTCATTGATTCCTGGCAATGTATTCATGTGTGTATTTTGTGTGTAATCCCGAGTGACCTTTGATAACTCTGGCTTGCATAGTTTCATAGTTTTTCTGGATTTTCATGTATATAAAATTGTTGATGTGAACCTAATATAATACGTGAAACTAATTATAAGAAGCGTGCTGTAAGGAAAGGATAAGTTGTTACACTTTGCTAAATAGACATCGACGATGGATGATACTTTAGAACTCGATTATGCCGAAATGCTTCATCATATAAGCATAGTCGCATCAGACGGTAAGAAAATTAAAAATTTTGGATAAGTGTATATGCGCTTATATGTATATGATGTGTGTGTGTGTGTGTGTGTGTGTGTGTGTGCGCGCGCGCGCGCGCGCGCGCGCGTCGTGTGTGTGTGTGTGGTGGTGCGCGCGCGCGCGCGTATATATATATATATATATATATATATATATATATAAAATTATCGAATATCTTCAATGAGAAAATATCTTGAAATACATGGTTTGTTTTTCGTTCAGATAGCCTGTGTTCCGAAAAGATAGATGGTGTACCGATACGGAAATTATTCGTCGGCAATTTGGCCGAAAGGGTTTGTATTATGTCGTTTGTGTCTTCTTCAACTTTTACCGCGCAGTTACGATTAGTTATGATTAATTTAATTAATTTTGTTGCAGACAACTTTCAAGGACTTGCGTAATTATTTTTCCACATATGGAAATGTCGAAAGCTGCTATTTACGTAGAAATCAAGGGAGAAGTAACTACGCCTTCGTCACATTTACTAATGTGACGGATGCGATAACGTAAGTTTTAAGGATGCTAGGTTTTTTGCTAGCTAATTAGTGGCAATGTGGTCGTAATTTACCAAGTTTACCAGCAAACGATGGTTGTAGAGCGGTGGAAGATGGGATTAAAAACAAATAAGATTACACAACCGAGATTTACGAGTAATGGCTGCAGATTCTTGGCATCAACCAGATAGTATAGAGAATAAATTCTATAATGTGGGAAAAGAATCAAACAAAGCTTCAGAAAAAAAAATGCCAGTGAACAATATGCTCATAAATATCTGCAAAATGATACTGAAACTATATCCATCCATATGTTGAATGATGATTGTCTGAGACATATATTTCTATTTTTGCCAATTGTAGATAGAGTCCGCATAGAGATAGGTGATTATTTTAGGGGTGTATGCAACAAATGCTCATCAGAGATTTTATATGTATGGCATATCATATTTGTTTGTTTTGTCACATGATCTTAGATCTCAATTGTATTTTTTCACATGTATTTACATCGTTTTATATTTACAGTTTGCAAACGTTGGAGAGATTTAAGCCAAGATTCTTGGCATATGATAAAAACGTTGGATCTCTCACCCTCTACATGGGGTTTTTCATACACTTGTATGATTCACACAGCTTTACTTCGTAAAATATTGCTGAAATGTGGCAGATTCTTAACGCGAATAAATCTATCTTATCCTCATTACTTGAGCCAAAGCACATTGACCATTGTCGGGAAACTCTGTCCTAATCTTACGAGTATCGATGTAACTGCATTGACAGTTTGCGCGTCAGGTATACGTACATTAACAGCTAATTGTAAAAACATAACCAAGTTAAACTTAGGACCATCCACATTCTGTTGCGATCACGAATTAAAGTATCTTTTCAAGATAAATAAGAATTTAGAATATCTTGCGATAAGTAGAAATAGTATTGTAGGCAAATGTTTATTATACTTGCCAAAGCAAACCATGCATACGATTATACTAGATCGCTGCGACTATCTTCAAGACGGTCATCTTTCAATGGTAAATCATTGATTTTCCGTTTCCTTTATCATTTTTGTTAATTGCTATTTAATCGATTATATATACATTAATATCGTCATGTTTATAGGCACTAACGAGGCTTGAAGATTTAAAACATCTTACAATAAGCGATTGTGTTGGCGTAGCTAAACATACACTGGAAGTTGTCGGTTATTATTGCAAAAATCTAAGAGTATTGGAACTCGTCGGAGGCTTTCCCTCTGCACAAGCGGCAGATATGTTCCATTTAATTCACCTCATTAATTTGCAAACTTTGAGAGTCACACGCAATCCTAAAGTATCGAACAATTTTCTTGCCGATTTGGTACAACATTGTCAACAGCTTACCAATGTAGATATTACAGGTAAAAATTACAATATATTACAGATAAAATTACAATATATGTACATGTACTGAGTTTTGTATTAGTCATTTTTTTCTTCAATCATATATTTTATCGTTACGTATTCAACAGATTGCTGCAATGTAAGCGATGTCGGATTAGCGGCTATCGCTACGTTAACAAGACTAGAAAAATTAATCATCAGTTATGTACCTCAAATTAGTGACGATGGCTTGACAACTGTATGCGGTTTAAAAGAATTGGAATGCCGAAGATGTCCGTTCAGTGATCGGGGTATGTCAACATTCATCAAGTCCTCACCACAATTACAATTGTTGGATCTCTCCGGATGTAGGTACATCAGGGACACCACTCTCGAGGTTGCTAAAGATGTTTGCAGCAGTCGAACCAATAACTTGATGTTAAAGATGATTGTTGGAGGAACAGCAATTCTGACTAACAAAGAAATAGGCCAAGAGAGACTGCCTCCGCTGTTGCATATAGTTAACGTTGATTTGTCCGTTAGTAATGTATCCAATATGCATCTCGTAGACAATGATCTAGACGATTCTTGTGATGAAGATTTAGATATAATTTCAGATTTCAGATTTTTTTGTCTATGATGGAAGTTCACTCTCTGAATATTGCTCAGATTAATTATACTCCTGAGGCTTTTTACCCGTATTCATTCACGAGAGTATTACGAGAGATTGACGATCCTGAGCTTTATTACCTCAACGACTCAGATTAGATCTACGCCATCTACGCCAGTTCCCTATGGTTCTAAATGAGATTTTGTACGATTAATGTTTACGGTTCCTGAGATTTCGTATGTGTGTGGTTACATAATGACTGATTTTGATATTTATCTTAGTGAATATAATATTACGATATCGCGTGCAATACGTACGTATTATATATAAATAAAGTTACTGTTACAATCATAATAAAGTGCAATAAAATAAAGTTAAAAAAAAAATAATCTACATCCATCATAAATTAAATGTCAATTTGATCGTTCGTATCAGAGAAAATTCCATTTTCTTCGATAACTTCTATCATTATTACAAACGGTTACACTTAGGTTTTTCAGATATCGAACGTAGAATTACAACATCGATGATTTTATTGTATTTATAATTCATAACGTTTAGACAATGAATCAATACAACTGCAAATATTATGCACATATATGCAACAAGGAATGTGCACATATTTTAATAAGTGCTAGGAATTACGAACTTTGCGCAAAATTATGAATCATCGCTTGATAAAATTGCTAAATTATGTTGGCATTTTGTATTTTATCACACGATTTTTTCGCGGATATCTTTTAATCGCGTATATTGTCTCTCTATGGTAGATAATAGAAACCATTTTACAATAATGTATGCATTACATGCGTTTGTTCTTAATATCAATAGTATTGTGTTGCCGTTGATTGTGATATAAACATAACATGACTTTAATTTTTGAGCGTCTGACGCTCTCATTGATATACATACACATACATGGAGAGATAATCACACAAGTATTACGATATATTCGTAATACAACTCGGTTGATTTTTTAAGCCAACTTGTAAACAGCTATTACATGCAATATGAGAGACTAACTTGCAGATTGCATCTACAAAATATTATTCAGCTTAATATATTTCAATGAACGACAAATTGGTCGTAATATTATGATTTAGCGTATTCACAATCTATTTATATTTTTTTCTCATGTCGATCCTATTGCACTTTACGGTACTTGTGCTACTAATGAAATATGTCCAATCTGTGAATTTTTCTATCAATAATAATATAATTATCGATCAAGTATACGATTAAATATGCGGAAAATCGTAACAATTTATCATTTAAGACAGTAAGATGATGAAAAGAACTTTGATTAGCATGTAATTCTTCAAATATTCGTGAATTTCAAAATTGGCCAATTGGCTGATAATCGTGAATAGCAAGATATTTTTCGAACATTTATAAAAATGCACAACAAGATTGGACATGCAATTGGATGCACAAAAGGTCAACCCCCTTTGCTGCGATTTAGATGGTGCGTGCTTATGTATGCGCGCGCGCTTGTGTGTAATTATATATATATATATATATATATAAAATTTTATTTCAATGAGAGAATGATGTGATGGATAATACGGAAAAAAAAACAATTTTTCAAATTTTTATTATCCATCAAGAAAATGAAAATGTGAAATAGTTTACTCTATTGCTATCATATATATGCATTTTATATCTTTAAATTAATGTAAAGTACCGATAATAAATCCAGTCTTTATCGCACATTTAGCATTAGGAAGGAATTGAGAGCATCACCCATCATACACGCACATATATTCTGCAGCAAAAGAATTCGTAGTTCAATATTTTTAATTCTATCGAGTCAAGTATGTATGTAAACGGCTTGAATTGTGTTGTGAAGTATTTCGTTATTCATAATGCAAATCGTGATGATGTGAAAAAAATCAGATAAATTTCTTTATTTTATGTGTTCAATATATGTGTCGATATATCAAATTCTGGCGAAAATAAAGATTGGAAGCGTAAGAGTAACGCGAAGAAAGGGTAACAGAAGCATGAACGAATGTTCTAGAAAGCGTAAATTGGAAAAAGAAGCATTTCACATGTCAATGTTTCAATTAGTGTTTTCTAGAAAAGATTCGTTTATGTTTTTGTTATATTTCCCTTATGTTACACTTACATTATGGATCTTTATTTTCGTCAGGTAAGAATTGATCTGTATCCAATGACAACAGAGTTGGTCACTTTTTTGTCTTAAGTATATACAATAATCTATTAAATGTAAGTTTATATGTTAATGTCGATAAATACGCAAGAATTTTATCGCAAGCGAATTAAAAAATTCGGGCTTGAATTATTAAAATACTTTTTCTAGATTGCCTTCAAATGATCGCATGAGAAAAGTGTGTGGTGTGTGTGAAGG